TTTTTTTTTTTTTTTTTTTTTGTATTTAATATGGATTGGATCTTTTAACTTAAATTTAGATCCATAATCCAGTAACTTTCTAGAAATCCATTGCTTTTTTATTAAATTTTTTGATTTTTTTGATTTCTAGGTTATGTTTGATTTTTTGCTTTATTTCAACTGAGTAACACGCTGAAGTTGGTTGTGTACACCCCAACGACAGTATGAGGACTGCTGACATTAGGTTAATGTCATCCTGATGATGATATGGGTTGGGATACTTTGTCGTTTCTGTATAAGCCGCGGCAACCGTCGTCAATGAGTATATATGAGATATTATTAAAGCATTTGTGACGTATGAAGAAAATGCAATTCATACTATCATCAAAAATATGGAAAGATCAAAAATGCAATGCAAAGAAGAAAATGAATGACTTTGTAAGAAAAGTGAGAAAACGTACCTAAGACGTTCATGTAGACATTTACATGCTTCTTGTAGTTCTAACATTACTTACTTACCCATATTTTGTCTTTGCGGCTGTTTTTCTTTTTCTGACAAAGTAAGAAAATCTAAATAATTTGTATATAACAAATCGATCCTTACTTGGCGTATAATTTCAATTATTTTATCTTTTCTTCGTTTTTTCAAATGAACGAATTAAACCAGACGTAACCTAAAATGCGATCCAAAGTCTTTCTGGTATTTGTCAAAATTGCATTCAAAAGTGTAGCTAACTCAGAATGTAGGTACAATCGCTAGAATAAAGTTTACTTGGTTATTGCTTCATTAACTAGCACAACAGGGTCATCAAATCTCTCGCCAAGTTTCGATATGTTACAAGTCAATATAAAAGAGGATGAAAGGCCATGAATGCAAGCATTTGTACGAACGGATTCATCTGATAAACGCGATTTTCGTACAGCTCTTAATCTATCCTTACCATAAAACGGGAAGGTAAAGGTTAAGAAACATTTATTGAATGTTTAATTCCAAATTTTCTTTTGTTTATAGAGGCGCGATAAAGCTAGTGTTAGTAGTCGAGGTGAGGTTTGAAGAAATAGTGGGAAAACAATAATTAATTATGGGCCTCCAAAAAAACCTCTTGGGCGTTGTGGCGTTATGCAAATGCCAATAGAAGAGGTTTCGCGCCTCCAACGCGAACAACAGAGTAAGTCAAGGATTACATATGGCCTTACTGTTAAAATGTAAACAATAGCACGGGCATGACAAATGTGAACAAAAATTAGAATTTGCAATAATAATCACACACGGTACCACTTTACAACATAACAGCACAAAGTACATTTTTAGAGATCTGATAACTCTGGCAATAAAATTCAAAAGCTCTAAAATTTTAACGGAGATGTCATAATAATATCGTCTTTTTAAATATTTCGAGATAGCCGATCTAAACCTGATGCTGCTGTCTCTGTGACAAAGAGAAAATCGGCAACACCCACAATAAACGCCAACTATGCCAATGTTTTTAGCTCATTACTAAAGCTTGCCACTCGACAATTGCGTACTCTTCAAGAGAACAATCATAATACACGACATGAGGCGAACCAGAAGGGTTATATCTAAGTTTGCCAATAGAAATATATTAAATTTTCGCTTTATTTTTTGATATCCAGCCAACCAACTAAACGTTTTAAATTTAGATATGCGGATATTCAAGAAGAGTTTATTTTACATATATTATACTATTCAAATGAAAAGGCGTAGAGCATCCGCCCAGCGGATATATTCCGCAGTTCTGGCCGTTGCTTCTTGCACTCCACGCACTGCTTTACATGCAGTACGATGCAAATGTTAAGAAATATAAATCGTATCTGAATCAGTATCTTGAATTATGCCATTCGAGAATTTCTTTGTTTCCTTTAGCCGTTTATGTTGATTCGATTTTCAATTTTTACTGTGAACAAAAATTGCAAAGAAATGCTTTACCTCAAATTCTACGAAAAAGCTTTTTTTTTACTATTACTTTTCACGTATAACGATATTTTATTTTATGTGACACACACTTGTACGCGTCCAACGTAGTAAAATTAAATTCTAACGTAACTTCTATGAGCGTAATTAACTGATTAAGAAGTAAACATTTTTTTTATACCAATTAACGAAGGATGAGGGGTATATTCATTTTGTCGAAACGTCTGCACCGCCCCGAAGAAAGCCTCATTGCCTTGATCAACATCAAATTCCATGCATGTTCGGCCGTCCGGTTGTCCGTCTATCCGGTTGTCTTATGTCTGTTGTAAACGTTCTCCTGGCCGCAAAAAGGAAGCTGTTGACTTGCAATTGAATTTGCAATACACCTAAACATGTTCGTCTATTCGTCTCTCTGTCCGCGCTATTGTGTGGTATTTGTGGTAAACATTCTCCCGTTAACGAAAATGAATAAGACGTCTACAATTGTGCAAAAGAGTTCGGAAATGACTTAAACTTTTTCAAGGACATGCCTACAAAGCCCACACACTTATCCGACAAAAACTTTTATTTTGAAAGTATAAAACGCAGCCCGTGCCCATTCCACATTACAGAGCATGAAAATTTAGCTCTTTTACTATTTTCGTCTTTTTTAGGATAACAGTGATGGTTATAAAAGATTCGGTCACGTCCATATATCATTTTCTTACTTGTTAATGCGGAAAAAAACACTAACAGAGAAATAAATAAATTTGCAAGCGTATGTTTTCAAAAAAAAGCAAAAGTATCTCCTTTTGCGTACATATTGCCAAGACTGCCATATCAAAGAACTGCGAATGAAAAATTGGCATTACAACCCTATTAAAAAACCACTATTTTTTAAAGTTTTTTGTCTATTGGTTGTTCTAAAGCGTATACCGTGTGTATTTGTTGTTGCAAATTTTTTGACCATATGTACATTTGACCATATGTATTTTATCGCTGTAAAAGTAGTACCATATGTATTTTGTTGTTGCATTTTTTAGAATTGCTGCTACTTCGTTTATTTTTAAGCAACTGTTAATATCATTACTATTATTTGTTATTATCATTATTATTATTAAACTTTAAAATCGTTACTATCGGTTTATTAATATAAATTAAATTAATTTGAATTAAATTACGTTTACAAGACGGAATTTACTCCTCATGATAATAAAATTTCTTTTCAAAAACAAAACTAAATAAAGTGGTAATAAAATACTAAATAAACCAAAACTAAATAAAATGGACTATCACCGAAAATAAAAGAATCTTTTTTTAGGAATTACAAGCATATCTTATCCCTTTAGAGACCAAAATTGTTGATTTTGATAAATTAAACAACGTCAAAGATAAAAGCTAAACGAACTTGCAATCGCTCTAAGGCTAATTATTGGACCATTTAATAAACCTGATTTAACTGAATAGCTTGCATGTAAAGTCTCTCAGAGCAACATAATTTTTACAGTAAGAAAATGCTTTAATTCGAATACTTCGAGCAGAGCAAAGAAAGGACTTAGTATAATTTTAATCGACACAATTCATTTTAGACTGAGGACGTTACATTTTATAGCACGGCTCACTTATATTCGTAATGGCCATGTGAATCGAATAGCAACTAACAATTCTCTTCGCATATTTTGTTTCGTATAAGCTGTCTTAATAACGCACGTGCGTCTCTTTTTTTTTCGTAAATCGAGAGAGACTTACATCCTTGTTTCTCTTTGAATATATGTCGCTAGCTTTATTGTTTGTATTTATTTATATTTCTTATTTTTACTATACGCATTTTCCAATAATGTCAATTTTAATTCTTATGAGAATGTGTTTAGCGTTGATGGCATCATATGTTACGCCGCTAATAAATGAGATTAACATTTTGCTGCGAAAGCATTCGACATTTCACAAATTTTATTTAAACAACTTTCATAATTTGTAAGATGTCATCTGAAATACATAAAACAATTGAATAATATTATGTTGACAGACAACGTTGCAAATTCCGTAGATACAATAAGAAACATCTAGGAATGTATTTTTTGACTATTAATACACAACGATGTAAATTTGCGTAAATTACAGTATAACCAACGTAAACTTTGCCAATTCGTTCTCATTTCTTCTCTCGATAGCACATATTATACCTTACATTTGTATTAACTAAGCGATTTTTAATGCTTTTAAGGATTTGCTTTGTTTATGTTGACATCATTGGTGCTTAGCTTTTCGTGTTTCACTGTGTTGAAGTCGTTTTACAAGTCACTGTAGTGTGGTATTCAGTTCGGAACTTTTTTTTTTTATAATAGCCAGAGAATATACGTACATACGCAATAATTAAGGAAAAAAAATCTACTTTTTCAACACATTATTTGCTTCATTCGTCGATTGTTAATCTACAGTTCGTTTGTGTTCTTCAAACGAAGTCCGCGCTTCTATACGTGAAAATTCCAAAATTATTTTTATACAAAGAATTTCTTATTTTTGCTGAAATATCCCGTTTATCTCGGAAAAAAAATAAAAATAATAGGTGTTTATTATTTTCTCGAAGAATAAGAACTTACCGTTTTTAAAGTCTTTGAGAAAATCAAACATACACCTGGTGAAGTAAAACAAAAGTTTAACAAAACGAAAGTGTGCAAGATAAAAATTTTTCGGGGACAAGTGGATGTTTTGTTTTTCGTTCCAATCCGTCAGTAATAAAAAAAAAAATTATATATATATATACAGTATATACATATATATATTTTATATATTATATATATATATATATATAAGCAATAAATTACATAAAAGCATTCGTATAACGTGAATGCTAATGTAGGTGTATGCGTCTCTGTGTGCCTTTTTTAAACGGATAGGCGAATAAGTGAAACTGCGAAGTGTCAGACAATTTATAATAATAAAAATTTTGTACATTGAAAATTTGTAATGTTTTTTACTCTTTGTCTCTCCCTTTCTCACTGTCTTGCTGGCTGGACAAAATTTTTTGTGTTGCGTTTCTAATTCTTGCAGTTATTTAAGTGATTTTATTAAATGAATTTAAAAATTGAAATAGAGTAAATAAAAACTTAAAGTGTTGTTCGTTTAAACGTTTCCAATAAAATAGCAACAACATTTATTATTATAAATATATGTAAAAATTAACTCCCACCTTCTGTGAAAATACCCACCAATTAGGAGTCTCTGTACTGTGGCTATTATACTGTTACAGATATACCATATTAAATAAAAAGGTAAGCTTTTTCTTAAATTAAACATTTTTAAACTGCGTCATATCGTTATTACACATAATTTTGCATTTTCCACATTTTTATGAAAAATAAATTGTTATAATTTCAATTTTTTTTTGTTTCGTTTGTTTATTCTTTTGTCTTTGTGTTGTGCCGAGCTCACGTTTACTTTTTTCACAAATGACATCAATTTGTGTTTTTCGTAGCCTAATGATGTATATGTATCATATATGTATATGTATACGATTGAGTAAATGTATATAAATATGTAAATAGGTATGTTTATATTTTTATGCAATATTTCTTTCGAGTTTATTTTTCTTGCAAATAAGGAAAATATTATAGCGCGTGTGTTTGCGTTTGTGCTGCGTGTGTGTGTGTTTGTGAATATTTCCCCTTCCTATTAAAGTGCATGCACTCTCTTGCATTATATATAAGATTTTGGCTTTACTCATTTCTCTTCGATTTCCTCTTCAATTAATGGCTTAAGTAGACAGCGTTGTATGATAAGAGCATTGTGTTTATTTAAGAATTTACAGTTATTAAAGAACAATTTGAATGTGTGAGTATATATATATATGTGTGCGTTGCAGCAACTGCAACTAAATTAGACCTGTAAATAATGGGAATTTTTCAATAAACAGTTTAATGTAATAAGTGCATATCATATATATATATATATATATATATAGTTTGAGGCTTCAATAAAGGTGCCTCCTGTTTTAAGGAGATTCGTTCTTACTTGTCTGTTATCTTCTGCCACCATTGGTCTGTCAGTGATGCAATGTATTCTATATATTGTTGCACATATGCATCTGGATTAGTGTCGGTATTATCCTTTCAATAAGGATACCTAAAGAAATTGAATATACTTAGCCTTGTAATTAGCTTTCTTTGAAGTAATTCTTGCGCTGCTTCATTCCCCATTGATGTATGGTTATCAAGAATTGATGAAAAAAGAAAAAAAAAAGAGAAAAATACCTCTGTTTAGCCTATCCGTTTAATACATTGAGCATAACATAGCACTGAGAATGAGACTTATAATCTTAAGGACCTAAAGTATAGTAATAGATAGAGTCAGGGAACCATAGAAGACCGTTTCGTAAGCCCGGTTGTCTCAATAAATTTTCAAATTTATCTGAAACCTTTAAATCACAATCTGTTATTAAGGTAAACGAATAGCAAAAGCGAACATGACCTATAAATGATCTGAACCTTTCTTTGTTTTTCTTTTTTATTTTTACGTTTTTGCTTATTTTAGGTATTACAGAACAGAATAACTCGTTTAATGATAAATTAGCAACTAAATGAACTTGTGGCCTACGTGCCAGTGTGCATGAACTTATTTTATATTCTAAGGCATTGTAGTTTCAAAATTGTATTATTCTACCTCTCCGATTTTTTACTAAGAATTAATAATTGTAAGCTAATAATGAGGTACGCATTTTAAAAGTTTGATTAAGTTTCAAATTTTTGTATCATCTTGCAATCATTTTATGAAAATAAGAGCGTGCAGAAAAGAGCAGCGCGAGAGAAGAAAGCTTTTTGGTCTCATTTCAAACACCATGTGTCAGGTTTTGTTTTCCTTTTTATTAGATATGTTATAAACTTATTTTAACTCCAATTTTCTTTTCATTTTGTTTTTTAAATGCGGGCAAAAAGGAGAATGAAGAAAACGAAACATCGGGATATACATCGCAGTGATGATCATATCGAATTTAATATCAATCGTAGTAGTTTGTTGTCGGCCAATTTGTGTTGAAAAATCCGAATCAAATTGTACACAGGCTGGCAATATTCTTAATCAGCGTGAGATATCATATCTTCCTATCTATTAACTTATTCCGGCGTTAGTAATTGAGGTGAAAATTGAAAGTTGGCTCTTATGATTGGCGGCATTCAGATGTCGATTTAAAAGTTATGTTCAAAAATTGACGTCGTAGGGCCACAAACACCCATTATTGAAAATAGAGATATCGCCGCTGGCTATTACAATCGCCCTGCAATAACGTGATAATTATTTATGATAGTGTAAAGTTCAGTATCTTTTGGGTGATTTATATTTATTTATAGTATGTATTCATAATCATAGGCATTTGGAATCAATAATTTTTGTTTTTACTATCGTTTTCAATATTTTCTAACTCTCCGAACATGTTGATTTGAAGTGTTATGAGCACGCAGCATTTAATAAGAAAGTAGTTAAATATAATATAATATAATATAAAAAAAATTAATACAAATATAATATATATGTTATATGCTATATTTACGATACCTCAAATGAGACAATATTTGAGGGGACCTCAGAGATAAAGTAAAAATAAAATTTATATAAGCATGCTATTCCGTAATTTTCGTATAGTTTTTGGTAATTGAATTGACGTCGGTAAGCTTTTGGTCGCATGTAGCGGGAAATTTCTAATAAACAAAAATTGAAAGTCTAAAGAAAATGTTTGCGCCTTGTTATGCACGATAATTAGAAGAATTCGGTTTTTTTGCACGAATGTTACGAATGTGATAAAAAAAAATTAGCAAACCGGATTTCTTTATTTAATTTAAGCTTTTTCTAAAGACGTTCTAGTGATTTTGAAAGCTAAGGACAGTTAGACAGATGGACCAGACAAAGAATATGTACACTTTCTGGAGTCGCTGAAATTACGAAAAATCGGTTATAGTCATAGTGATTGATATAAAAACACATTAATTTCGAATTAAATTTGGATGTAAAAAAATAATTGTTATCAATGTTATCAGTTATTTAAGGCCTTTGGTTGATTAAAAAAAGTGAAGTTTGAAATATTTCATGTAGACACGATTAGAATATAATGTGATGATGTCGTAATGTCATAATGTATGTGCCTGCTATTGAGAAAGGCTTTGCAAACATGTTTATTTTGGCAAAGGGTAGTAACAAGTCGACATCAGCCTGGCATATGTTTTTACTATTTACTCTCTTTCTCTCTCTTTTTCTTTAATTTACGTTTTTAAAAGCTGTTTATTTACACGTAGATATGCATGCATTCTATATAGTACGTGTATAAATGTAGGACTGTTATGCGCGAGTGTGTGTTGATAGTTATAATTTGATGAGATTTCTGCAATGAGAAGATACGGTAGGAGAAATTGCTCAATGTAATCAAGTATTTAAAAAGTTTGGGAGAAATACTCAGCAAACAAATGTTTATCATTTGGTTATATTTTTGTTGTTTTTGTTTGTTTTTTTATTGCCACTTTATTTTTTGCTGATGATTTTTTTTTTATCGCAGTATAAATGTAGGTTTGTTTCTTTAAGTGAGTAAGTTGAAGTTTTCTCTTCAGTTTACTTTATTTTCGTTGTTGTTTTTCTGTATGTGCTTTTTTTTGTTTTTGTTCATTCATATACACTATTATTTGTTGCCAAGCTAGTTGAGTATGTTTGGATATATATATATATATATAAAAATATATATAAATATCAGCCATATATATATATATGTATACATATATCTGTTTATATATATGTGTATATATGTATATATATATATATACTGCTTAATTCTCATTATTGTCTACTTGTTTATGAGTCTTACGAGAGAATATTATTGTTATTATTAATATTATTATTGTTGTTGTTGCCGTTGCTGAGTTATAGTTGGCACACACATTGAAATACATATATGTATATCATATAAATTTTTAGCAATTTCTATTTAGAACACAAACATCTGACCATTGCTTGACTATTTATTATGTATATATATATTTATATATATATTTATATATATATATCCACATGTTTCTATTGCAATTATTTCTTGTTGTAAGCAAAATGTTGACCTTGATTTAGAGCAATTCATAGAGAATAAAATTCATATCATTTTCTTACATACATTTCTATATTAACGTAATTTTGTTATGACACTTTAAAAACATTGCAAACTTAACATATTATCGAATCTAAAAGTCATAAAAAAAGCGAAAAGTTCTTTCCTTTCCATAGTAGCATTGAGAAAGTTAACTTAAAAGGGGCGAATTTTAAAATTCGCGTCTCTACGTATCTTATGGGGTTCTTTCAAGTCAAAATTAGCTGCAATGTGCGATTTCTCGATTTCTCGCACCTTAAATAACTTCGAAGAGTTCGCTTTATTAGCGATATTTCAAATAACCCAAAGCAGTTTAAGAAGTTGGAAAACTCCGTTGTGCGGGGGGTGTGTTAAAAAAAAACTGGGTTTTTTTATTTTTCTCAAAAAATATTTATTTTGCCCCCCCACTTACATAGAATGGATATGTGCCAGCGCCTTCTCCATTCTTCGAAGCACTTCGGATGTGCACTTTGTGGCGTGGTCTTGAGCTTTTCCAGCGACGCGGTCTTGGAAACTGGAAAATGTCGCAAGGGATGAATACGGTGGCTGAGGCATGATTGCCGTTTTCTCTCTGGCCAAAAAATTACGAACAAGCAATGACGTATGGGCGGACGCATTATGCATTTTCTGCCGCACTTTTCATGGCTTAAACATCCAAAAATAAAAAATAAACTGCAAGACTTGAGCCTCCCGATATGACGATATCTTCAGCGGTTTCGTTAATAGAACTTCGAAGATTCTCCACAGCAATTTTCCTAATTGCGTCATTTCCGTTAAAACCTTGTACGACTTATGAACGTTTTTGTTTGCTGAAAGTAATTTCGCTAAATGCCACAGTCAACATTTTAAATGGATAGGAGCAGTTGCTTTTATTTTTTATACAAAATTTAACGCAGATACTTTGATCAATTTTTTTTTTTTTTTTTTTGTGACACCAAAATATTACTACGCACACCGAAACACATCTAACCTTTATATCCGTCAAAAACAGATTAAAAATACAAAATGGCTGATAATGTCAGCATGTGTTGGACACATATGTACCGACGTAACAAAAAGAAAATCGAATATACGTAGCCCCCGAAATTTGGAAAGTAGCCTCTTTCTTTGAACTCACCCCGTACTTTACACATCACATGTGGTAATGATGTATTAGTT